TATTGATTTATGGCCATAGTTGCCTTTGATTATTTGTTGTGATTTTCATAAAGTTGAAAGGAAATTCTGTTTTGATTCCACGAGATATTAATTGCCATTATTTTGTTTAATTAAATGATGACATGCTACTTGATTCATTTCCATTGTCATTTTATTTTATTATATTGTTAAACATTTTACCATGCAATTATTATTTTCTAGTAGGGTCTGACCTGACCTCGTCACTACTCTACCGAGGTTAGGCTTGGCACTTACTGGGTACCGCTGTGGTGTACTCATACTACGCTTCTGCACATCTTTTTGTGCAGATCCAGGTACTCCTTACCGACATCAGTGAGTTACATGTACACGGAGACTTCGAAGTATATCTGTCAGCATCCGCATACTCCGGAGTCCCCTTCTATCATTATTGTGTTGCTTCCTTATTTTCTTTAGACCTTGATATATATAGAGACATTGATGATAAATTCTTAGAAGCTTGTGACTTATTTCTATCGGGTTGTGAGAGTTGAAATTGTTTGAATTGTAGCTTATTTATTTCAGATTTAAATTTTTATTCCGCATTGATAGGCTTACCATCACGACATCCTACAGAGGGAATTTGGAGTCGCGACAGAAACTGATGTATATCAATTTATTAGCACTAGCACAGTATCTTTCAAATTTGACTGTTAAAATTGCACATTCTGTTACTCATCTATACTATGTAATATGTTATGTTTTGATAGATGTCAATCAGTTGTATATACCTATAATATTCACTTCAAGCGTTTATATCGCCAGGACAACAATACAGTTAAAAGACAGATTCTTTTATGATTTTACACGTACTACCCAATGAATCATATGCTTTTTTAACCTGACTCGAACTCTTAACACATCGCTTCGAGGTAAAGGTGCTTTTTTCTATAGCTTCACCAACTGAAACCATCCTTGCTTGTCATATAACTATGGTTTGTGCTCTCAATAATTACTACGACTAATCTTTTTTTAAAAACATATTTTCTTATAAATTGTGCAAAATTAAGACGACAGTATATCATAACTAATAATTGTAATGCTGTCAGACTTTTTTTATAATAATACATGGTCGGTTTTTTTTTTTGAACCAATTTTTCATGTTATGTTATAATATATATTTTTTTATAGCAGTTAAAAAATATCGAACAAATGAAGGTTGTATAGAAAGATTTGACTATAATATCTAAAAGCCAAAGGAACTGTCCATTCATCACCAAATTGGCTTCTAGATTTTGTCTGCAGTTCTAGCTAACCATATGGCTGGCAGTTATACGAAAATCATTCTGATCTCATAAATAAGAAGTGTCAATTTCATTGACTTCTTTATACCTAATTTACCGACATGCTGCTACTCTTTATGATATATTTTGAGTTTTGATATAGGTTTAACAAAATGGTTTTACTTAGAAAAAAGAGTTACGTCGAGAAAATATGTCGAGAAATATTGTTCATGACATTTGTGCCCCTCGGCACAAAAAAGCATTAAAAGGCGCGTGATCCATCACTCTCTCATACGCATATTTTCCCTTCCAAAACTGTTACATCTAACTCTTATCGGGATCCTTTCCACCAAAAAAGAATCTTGGGATGTATTTTCTCACTCGCATCATATACCTTTCACGCGCAAATGGAGTTTCCAAGGGTATAATGGTCAAAAATATTTTTTCGACGTTTTCTCTACGAATTTTCTCGATGTTTAACCGCATTCTTTGACTTATATGTGTTGATAGTGTAATTAATTTTATCTATCAATGCAATTTAATAAGCTTTAATTAATTATCTGTCTTATTTTTCAAGTTACTGTATTACGCTTATTGCAACAATTACATATAGTTATCTTTTACACGATATGATAATGAAAAAATTCTCTTACATTATAAGTATAACAAAGTTAAACTCTTAAAAAAGTAATTAATTAATAACTACATAATTGTGTGATTTATATTACCAAACAACTTAAAAAATAAGAAAATCGTGTTATTGTATACTCACTTGTTTGAACTTTTTAAAATTGATAAAATTTGTCATACAAGAAAAGAGGGCATATCTTTGACGAACTAAAATAAAAAGTTTGGTCAATCATGACAAATAAGTATATATTATTTCAAAAGCTTTCTTTCTGGTGTGTTTCTAGAAGTTTTGACAAACTATAAATAGAAGTAGTTGGGACTCTATATTTTCAAGTTCCTTCATATTTGGACAATAAGTTTCACGATTATTTCTTTTTTTTTTTTTTAAAAACAATGAATTTGTTGCCAATCTTTTCAAACGATTATAATATTTGTAGATAATCTTTCCAAACTTGGTTGTCTACCCTATTAACTTAGAGCAAAGTCGTCTACCCTAATTCTATAGCAATTAAAATCTGGCGGCTCATTTGGTTATTTACATAAAAATTTGGTTATCCATTTTATTTTTAGTTCTACGTAGTTATGTAAATAAAAAAAGTAGTATAACACTTTCATGTGAGTTTGTTCTATTGCAAACAACCAATGAATACATGACACATGTTTTCAGATATACTCTTATCACTAAGTCATACTAACATACATCTCCTATTTAATGTAACCTTGCATTATAATAACTTGTGGTATAATTTTAAGTGATATTTAGTGGGAAGGATCTTATCTAATTTCCCTCCGCAATCTGTTTTTCTTTTCCTATTCCTATTAGTAAAACCATGTCACCTCTTGTGATTTTATTAAAAATTTTAGTGTAAAATTTGAAATGCCTGAAATACCCCAAGAATAATTTAGGCACAAGTAAAGTAATTCAACAAAGACTAAATAAAAAAACATTATCATACTAGAAAGAGAACGAGGTATGAAGCTTTTTCTTAACTAACTCTTGAATCTCTCTACATTATAGCTAACTCTCCACCTCTAAAAACTATATAGCAACGCCCATATTTATAATACTACAATCCAAATATGGATACACTAACAAAACTTATTTCAATATAAACTTGGTAAACAAATCTACTAGACATAAATTAAATAAACTAACAAATACCAAATCATAGACAACTTACGAATACTAATTAATCTTGGTTTAATTTCTAACAAAATTAGATATTCAAGTCATCTTTTTTTTTAATTTTATTATTTTCCTCTCTTTAATCTTTTAATTTCCGATCATTCTTCCTTGTTCTTTATTTATTTGGTGCCATTTCTACTTTAGAACTAGTTAAAACGTATCTTAACTGAGTAATGGTATGCATATTGAAGGTGTTTAATCATTCTTTTCATCTTACAAAATTTTAAAAATTTGGCCAAAATGAGTGGATCTCCTTACTCGATTCAAAATAAATTATACACGTATTATCGTAAATTATCAAACTCTATTTGTAGTGTCAAAACTCATTTTTTATTTTATCAAAATAAGTTTAATTTCTCAGCACGGTGACGGTTTGGAGCACCTCATCTGCTCGCCCTTCTACGTATCAGTAGTACTAGAATTATCCTCGTATTATCATATTTTGTAATTTTTTTTATATTACCTGTTGTTTTCTTTGCGTAATCTTATTATTTTGCTGTTATTATTATTTTTTTCTCTCTCCAATATTTCCAACATGACCTCTTTACTACCAATTTTTTTCTCAAACTTGCTTTTTTCCTTCTTTGAACCCGGGGTCTATTAGAAATAACATTTCTACTTCATACAAGATAGAAATAGAGTCTGTGTACTCATTATCGTTCTCATATCCTACTTGTGGGATTGCACTAAATATGATGTTATTGTAAATTTAATTTCTCAGTACTTGCTTATATAATTATATTATGATGACCAACATAAACAAATAACTCTATACACAGCAATAATTTAGTAACTAGCACCTTTAATGTAGTAAATAACTTACTTTACTAACGAAAAAATTTGATTTAACCGGTTAAGATATACAAACAAGTTTATATTAAATCATACTAATTTAAATAGAAAAGCAATTCTCATTATTGAAACTTTGAAATAAAAAGCATCCCACGACAATTTTCCAGGCATTCACCCTGAACATTTTGTCTGTATAATAGACATTGTGCTGGCTGTAAAGTGCCACAAATAAAAGAAAAAAAAAAGGAAAAAAAGTGAAAAGACGAGAAATATTTATGGTAAAAAATGTATTTACGAAAAAGTTAAAGAAAAAAATGCATAAACATAAAAAAAAAAAAACATTATCTATAAATAATTGATTTTATTTAAATATTGAATATTCTCTTGAACGTTAAGGTTTTGTCGCATTCTTTGGGAGGTACAATAGCAGAAAGGGTTGAAAAATCAGAAAAAAAGTACAAAAGTGAAAGAGTTGTTCTGTCTCATTATTCTGTTTGATAAATTGATAGATCTAAAGATTCAAATAAACACTACAAATAAAGGAATACCTTACTCCTTTTCAAATTAATAGCTTTATTATCTTTTTCTCTTCTTTGCATAGGTGTTGATTTAAATTGGACTAGAATCAAACACAAAATAAACATATTTTTAATGTCTAGAATGATATTAAAGAGTTCTAAAAATATATTTTTTTATCTAGAAGTTGAATAACATATCGCGATTACCTAGGAAAAATTTGACTAATCGTTTGGCTGAAATTGAAAAAACATGACTACACGTTTGCTAGTGAGTAGTGATCATCACATTTATCACGTTAAGATAGAATTCCAATTTTAAAAAAATATTTTCTAGCAAAGGGCACAAAACAACTAAGATTAAAGTTTTACACGATAATTTAGGGCACAATTATAAGGTGACTTCCAAACATGTCAATGAGTCCCGGTTCTCAGGCTCTCAATTTTTGTCTTTTATAACAATTTAAGTTTCAAATTCTCAAATATGAAAAAAATTATTTACACTTATTTTTTTTCCAAATAATTAGAAAACAAAATAGAGAAAATATTCTAAAATTATAGAGAAATGAGAGAGAGAGGCAGGAGATGGGGGTTCCAAGAGAGAAAAGTCTCTGTAAAAAAGAGCTTTGACTCTCTCTTCTCCAATGGAGGATTTAATTTTCACACCTTCTTGAATTAAACCTTTTTCCCATTTTCACATTCTTTTTCTCATTTCACAACTACCCCTTTTTCTCATTTATCATTTTACTCTTCATTTCAGGTCTTTGCCTTTTAATTCATTTTATCTCCATACAAACCAAAATCCAGATAGAACTAACCAAAAAAAAAAAAACCTTCTTTTCTGCAGGTTGGTTTTTATTTTCTGCTGCATTTTTATTTATATTTAATGTTTTGTCGTTTCTGAGGGTTTTCCTGTATATGGGTATCTTTTTCTCTTCTTGTTTGTAAAAAGTAATTAGATTTATCAGAATCTTGAATAATGTGTCCAAATTATAAAAGATCTCTTAAAAATCCAATCTTTTATCTGTTTTCTTCAAGTTTTGAATATAAAAGTTAGAATCTGCATCAATCTTTGAATAACTTGATCTTAAAGCTCAGATTTTGATGTTTAGATTCATTTTTTTATAGGCAAAGAAGTAAGAATATAATATTTGGTTCATATTTAGCTCAAGATTATATTTTTTGGGTTTTAAGAATATAACATTTGGTTCATATTTAGCTCAAGATTGAACTTTTTTGGGTTTTAAGGGTATGGCGTTTGGTTCATATTTAGCTCAAGATTGAACTTTTTTGGGTTTTAAGGGTATGGCGTTTGGTTCATATTTAGCTAAAGATTGAATCTTTTTGGGTTTTAAGAATATAACATTTGGTTCATATTTAGCTCAAGATTGAACTTTTTTGGGTTTTAAGGGTATGGCGTTTGGTTCATATTTAGCTAAAGATTGAATCTTTTTGGGTTTTAAGAATATAACATTTGGTTCATATTTAGCTCAAGATTGAACTTTTTTGGGTTTTAAGGGTATGGCGTTTGGTTCATATTTAGCTAAAGATTGAATCTTTTTGGGTTTTAAGAATATAACATTTGGTTCATATTTAGCTCAAGATTGAATTTTTTTGGGTTTTAAGAACATAACATTAGGTTCATATTTAGCTCAAGGTTGAATGTTTTGGGTTTTAAGATTCATATTTAGCTCCAGGTTGAATGCTTTTGGGTTTTAAAAATATAACATTTGGTTCATATTTAGCTCAAGGTTGAATGTTTTGGGTTTTAAGATTCATATTTAGCTCCAGGTTGAATGCTTTTGGGTTTTAAAAATATAACATTTGGTGCATATTTAGCTCAAGATTGATATTTTTTTGGGTTTTAAGAATATAATATTTGGTTCATATTTAGCTCAAGGTTGAACGTTTTTGGGTTTTAACAATATAACATGGTTCATATTTAGCTCAAGGTTGAATGTTTTTGGGTTTTAAGAACATAACATTTAGTTCATATTTAGCTCAAGGTTGAATGTTTTTGGGTTTTAAGAACATAACATTTAGTTCATATTTAGCTCAAGAATGAGTTTTAAGAATATAACATTTTAGTTCATATTTAGCTCAAGGTTGATTTTTTTTGGGTTTTAAGAATATAACATTTGATTCTAGCTCAAGATTGAATTTTTTTGGGTTTTCTTGATTTTTTTGTCAGGATTTGATATTTTGAAATTGTTATGGGAAATTGCTGTGTGACACCTGGTAAATCTTCTGAGAAAAAGAAGAACAAGAAGAAGAACAAACCAAACCCTTTTGCTATTGATTATGGGGCAACTCAATCATCAGCTGAAGGTGATGGAAACAAGCTTGTTGTGTTAAAAGATCCAACAGGGCACAATATTAATGAAAAATATGATCTTGGTCGTGAGCTCGGAAGAGGGGAATTTGGGGTTACATATTTATGTACTGATGTTGACACAGGGGAGAAATATGCTTGTAAATCGATATCGAAGAAGAAACTTAGGACAGCTGTAGATATTGATGATGTTAGGAGAGAGGTTCAGATTATGAAGCATTTGCCTAAGCATCCTAATATTGTTACCTTACGGGATACTTATGAGGATGATAGTGCAGTGCACATTGTGATGGAACTTTGTGAGGGTGGTGAGTTGTTCGATCGGATTGTTGCTAGAGGACACTATACAGAGAGAGCAGCAGCTGGTATTATGAGGACTATAGTCGAAGTTGTCCAGGTATAGTTTTACAAGTTGTTGCAGTCTTGTTCACATATTTCATGTACTGTGTGTTGTTAACTCAGGATTATTTTAGTGAAGTCTGAGTTCGATAATTTCAACTGAAGATATCAAACTAGACAAGAAAGGAATGTTGTGATTGAAGTTTCTTGTTTGTGAGCAGATTGAAAGTTCTAGCTGAATATTATGTTTGAAGCTTAGATTTATGACTTTGTTGTGAATTAGCACTTACCATTTAATTGGATTCATTTCACATGTTGACCATATAGCAGTTGTTTTACTACATTCTATATTTAAAGTGGAGATCTTTTGTTATGAAATTGTTGCTAACAGAGTTATTAAAACTGTAGTTTATATACGTAAGTAGTTATGGTCTAATACATAATAATGTGAGAGCTCAACTTACATATTGACAGAATAGAACGAACTGACTTAATTTCTTGATAAGGATTCCAAATGTGACGCTTTTCAATAGAGAAAAGACTCATTTTATGGAATGTGTTTAAAAAGTTCATGTTTCTACATTAGTTGTTTGAACTGTTATCATAAAAGGGATGGTAACCGAAGCTAACATGAATGCTGATTATCCCAACTTTATACAGTTTAAACTATGTGGTCGCACATAGATCTATTGTCAAGTTTTACTCTCTCGTTGCGTTATGTTTCCTCAAGCAATGTCTGCTCCTCCATCATGTTCTACTTATGGAAAGTTTCAATGGCATTGCAGATGTGTCACAGGCATGGAGTAATGCATCGTGATCTCAAACCCGAGAACTTTCTCTTTGGTAACAAAAAAGAAACAGCTCCACTGAAGGCTATTGACTTTGGGCTGTCGGTGTTTTTTAAACCTGGTAATGCACTCAGTAATGTTACAGTGTGTTTGAACCTTTTTCATGCAAAAAAAAGGTTAATATTTGGAATAAACTTTATTTCTTTAACAGGGGAACACTTTAATGAGATAGTGGGAAGTCCTTATTACATGGCTCCAGAGGTCCTAAAACGCAATTATGGCCCGGAGGTTGATGTGTGGAGTGCTGGAGTTATTCTTTATATTCTTCTCTGCGGTGTTCCACCTTTCTGGGCAGGTCTGTTTCTTTTATTTGTCTTGTTTTTGTAACATGTAACAAACTTTGTGCATATGTTTTGGGTTAGGCAACTTCTTAGAAGTTGGCGACTATTTAATTAGAGAGTGTCAAAAGGAAGAGTGACTACAAGAGTGAATCCCACCTCTATCTGAACTAGTGGTGGCAAAATGGTTAAAAGAAAACAGTTATCCATCCATATTATCCATTAAAAAATGGGCGGGATAATGAACTTTATAAAAACGGGTCAAATATGGATAAGAACCATATTATCCACTTCGAAAATGGATAACTAATGGGTTTAACTTTTACATTTGTAAAGCTTGCAGTGGGTATTAAGACAATGTGATCTCGTGAATGGGTTTAACTTTTACATTTGTAAAGCCTCAAATTGGGGGTTCCTCAAGTTTGGGAGACTAGGAATTCTCTAAAAAATGATCATATGCAAGAAGTCATTAATAATATGGATATCCATATTATCCGTCGCTTAACCCATTTTTTATCCGTATTAAATATGGGTCGGGTCGGATAATTTATCCATTTTTGCATTACCCGTTTTTGACCCACCTATATCCGGTCTGACCCGCCCGTTTGCCACCCTTAATCTGAACCAATGAAATCAAATTTCTTTTTGACTATGATAGTTAGTACTTTGTGCCTCTAGCTATGAATTTGGTTATCATTTTCTCAAAAATTGCCTAAATTCTTCCAAATATGTGTAGAGACTGAACAAGGAGTCGCCCAAGCAATTATTCGCTCTGTAGTTGATTTCAAGAGAGATCCATGGCCTAAGGTTTCTGATAATGCAAAGGATCTTGTAAAGAAGATGCTTGATCCAGATCCAACTCGACGGCTCACAGCTCAGCAAGTTCTTGGTAATTTTTGTTAGTCATTGAGATGCTACACTTTCATTCGCTTGTTGTCTATTCTCTCTATTTCATAGTTTAATTTACTGACTTTTTCTTTGGGCTTTGGCTCATATACTTGAATGCAGAGCATACTTGGTTACAAAATATAAAGAAAGCACCAAACGTCTCATTGGGTGAGACTGTCAAAGCAAGGCTCAAACAATTTTCAGTTATGAACAAGCTCAAGAAAAGAGCTTTAACGGTAAATATACACTTTTCCCTGCAGTTATATACATATTCTTAGCATTCTGCACTATCTCAAAAGGATATCTTCATATATGCTTAATGTTTGAAGCCCAAATGATCGAAGATTCTCTGCTTTCTCACAAACGTTTCTCAATCTTATGCTTTCTTTCATTGCATGCACAGGTTATCGCGGAGTTTTTGTCAGCGGAGGAAGTGGCTGGAATGAAGGAAGCATTTGACCAGATGGATACAGGAAAGAAAGGCAAGATTAACCTTGGAGAACTTAAAATTGGTCTTCAAAAGCTGGGCCATCAGATTCCTGATGCCGATCTTCAGATTCTCATGGAAGCCGTAAGCATTCTCATGCCTTTCTTTTCGCCTGGTTTGATTTTCTTATACTTTAAAGGGCTAAATATATCATACAAATCAAGTTACTAATACTACCTAATGCTACAGTCCGCTTCGTCTCTCTTTAAAATTTTTAGATTTCAGCTTAGAAGGGAAGGCAAGCATTACGATTAAATATTTAAACTTGCTATATAATATCTATAAATGATTGATTCTATATATATTAGATCAGCATAAATTGAACCAACAAAACTACTATTTTATTTCTACTGTGATGACTTTCAGTGTGAATCTGTCTTTAGCCATAAGAGAAGCCTCGCACTTTTCCTTGCGTACCTAATTGGGTTCTTATTGTTTTTCAGAAATTCCTTACTCTCGGATTCTTTTGCTCTTTGATAGAGTGATTATTATAATTGTTCCCTCTTTTATCTTCTATTCGCTTTTACAGGCTGATGTTGATAGAGATGGATGTTTAAATTACGCGGAGTTTGTCGCTGTATCGGTTCATCTAAGGAAAATGGCAAATGATGAGCACCTGCACAAAGCGTTTTCATTTTTTGACAGAAATCAGAGTGGCTACATAGAAATCGAGGAGCTGCGCAGTGCCTTGAGTGATGAGGATGATGGCAACAGTGAGGAAGTCATCAATGCCATTATGCATGATGTTGACACTGACAAGGTAAGTATTTGTGTCGATTCATATGCATCTACCGGATTTGGTACTTAGTTCATATATTTGTCATACAAATATGTATCTTTCATTGCATGTGGATCTATAAATTTAAGTTTTAACTAATGTAGTTTAAGCTGATGTTACATCTTAGTGAAGCCTGATCTTGAAGATCCCTCTTGACCCCGAGTTCTTATTCAGAGTTGGTGCTTCTTTGCTTTTGTCAGTCATAAAACCCAAACAATATTCTATCTTGCATCTTTATGGCAGTAAAGACTAAAGAGCACCACATATGCTCTTACTTTGACTTTATAACTGCTTTCTCTACTACATATGTATTGACCATGACCAGATTTATCGAAAGAAGACGATAAGAATTGACCATGACCCTTTAAGAGTTGTGATATTTTGCATTCCCTGCTGCTCAATCAGGATCTTATATGCCTTGCGATTTCACAGATCCCTAGAACTCTAGCCATTTGAATTGGGTGATGTTTGCGATTTTCTTTATTTTTTAAATGAGCTATTCATAAATAGCCCCCTCGACTTGTCCTAAGTTCCAAGAAACCTATTACCCAACGTACTGTCAAAATTGTATCTTCCATAACCCTGAGAGGTATATAACCAAATGAAAACATGGGGGTGTAGCACACGCTGCTATGTGTTAAAAGATCACTTGATTTTACATATTTAAGGTTGTCCAGCCGCTGAAAATGAAGAGAGCTTCTTATTGGAAAGAATGGTGTTTACCTTTTTTTTTAGTTTTCTGACAACTCAAACAACTCTAGTCAATACAAAAAATCATCTGTTCCTATCAAACAACTCAAATAAGTAGAAACTACTATACTTACACCAAACAAAAACGAAGACAAAATCAAACTCATTCTCTTTAAGATTCCTTCTTCCTTTTCTTTGAGAAGAGTGATAGTTAAGGAAAGAAGAAAAAGAAGAGAAACAAAAAGAGTTAATTTTAGTTTTTTCGATCACCTGGGAAGAAGAAAAGGAAGGAAGAGAAAGACAAAGAAAAGAAAAAAGAAAAAAAAAGGAAAAGATACTTGATAAAAGAAATGCTACAACACATTATTTTGAACTTTTTTTTTCCGTTCACGCGCATTATGAGGGTAATACACTCTCTATGTGGCGTGGCGTCTTAGGGTTGCGGTAGATACATTTTGGACAAGAACCAAAGAGGTAATTGGTCTCCCACAAAGTTTAAGTGTGTTGTTGGAACTTCGGAACAAGTTGAGGTTTTTTCCTTTTTTTTTTACCCTTTTTAAAATTGTAGCTTGTGTTCCTTCATTTCTTCTAAATGGCATTGAAGTATGTGGCAAATACAAGATTTTCAGCTTTTAGCTTGGTTACCAGTTTGGAAGTTCATCAGTTTCATTTTGTCACCTTACAGGATGGTCGCATTAGTTACGAAGAATTTGCTGCAATGATGAAGGCTGGAACGGATTGGAGAAAAGCATCGAGACAGTATTCTCGTGAACGTTTCAATAGTCTCAGCTTAAAATTGATGAGGGACGGCTCATTACAACTTGGAAACGAGGCTAAATGAACAAATGCAGAAGAAAAGAATTGTTAAAAGAGGAAAAAAAGGAAATCATTTTATGGATATTTCCTTTTTTTCTTTATTGAGTATGAAATTCTTCTTTACCTCTCTCACTTTGTACTCGAAAATTTTGCCCTCCTGTCTGAGCTCCATCATTGGCATATCAGAATATTGAGGTGAGGTCTGCAACTTGTTACCCCTTAGGCAATCTTGAGTTTTGCTAATTCTGCAACTTGTTACCCCCTAGTAAAACAGAAAGCATTTAACAAAGAATCTTTGAGTTTTTTTTGTTTTTTTTTTTTGCATTGTTGTAAATACATGGATTTGTTAAAAGCTCATGGTCATACTATCAAAAGCAAAATTAACAAAAAGAAGGCTCATTGTCATTGATTATATCATTGCAACTCTCCTAATGTTGAAAAACTAGATGTTAGCACAGCAACATTCTATTTGCCTTTAGTTGTTTTTTTTTTGTTGTTGTTGAACTTAGGTAATATATACTAGTATCAGGTAAGAGCAGGGTTTTCTCTTTCTTTTCTTACTGGATATTGTGGTTAAATCTACTACTCTTTTAATACCCATATCAGGTAGAAATCAGGTTCTCCTTTATTTGAGAAATGATAATTTTTGGGCTAACTTGTTTGCACTTCAACCTATTTCACCATATACATGCGATCTTCTACTTTTTTGGCTATTGTTACTGCTTCTCTTTTCCTAGTTCTGACATTATTGTTGTGATTATGCTTTCCTTGAGCTGAGGGTTTGTCGGAATCAACCTCTTTACCTTCACAGGGTAGTGATAAAGTCTGTGTACATACTACCCTCTCTAGACCCCACTTGTGGAAATACACAGAGCATGTTGTTTGTATATGCGATCTTCCACCAACACAAGTACCAAATCCGGCTCACCACAACTTCGATTGATGGATATAAATCATCTAACATTTTGTCTCTATATATTTTGATTTGAAACCTGCCTTAAAGCTGGTTATTCCACTGGACTAGTGATTGATATACATTTAAGAGGTTATGTGTAGGTGTTAATTATTCTCATTGTCTAAGTTTCTGAGTTAGTTGGATTATATACCTAGGCAACTAGTACACTAACTACTGCATCTAGTAAGATATTCTACTGGACTAGTGGTTGATATTTATTCAAGATTTGAATGAATGTAACACCTAACTGAAGTCTTGTTGGTAAATTTGCATTGCAGTGATAAGGACCACTATCTAATTTATTCATTTCGTTGTCAAAGTTACTAATTATATTTAAAATCAATGGCGAAGCCAGAAAATTCAATAAGAGTGTTCAAAATTTGAACACCCTTTGCTAGTGGACTATGTAAGTATGTTCAAAGTCTATTTTTTGGGTGTAATATTTTAAAATTTTAAGGTAGATGCTAGCATTTCATTAATATAATAAATTGTCAAGTTCCATGCTAATACCTATAATATTTAATAAAGGTGCAAGTTTTGCCCAACTCTAGATATTCAATTCTCCTAAGGCTTGATGCCCAAAAGATGAAAAAAATTAATGTGAAATTAATAATGTCAGGTCGAATCAAGAGACAGATACAAGATATTCTAATTTTTGTTCTCTTAGTTGTTTCTGTTCTTATACCTACCACTCCAATAACAATAATATTAAAATGAAGTCGAAAATATTTTCTCCCAAAGAGTGGATTACGAGAGATAACATTATTGTTTGTGAGGAAAACTAGGTAAAATCATCGAACAAATGTAAACCATGATTAACCTAAATAGGAGTAAATTTTAGATATTCTTTCCCTCGAGTAAGTTTTACAAAAATCCCCTGAATCTTTCTCTTTGATTCCCTGAAGGTGAGGATTGAAGATTCAAATCTCTCCAGCAAATAAACATAATTAAAGAATTTTATATCTTAAGTTAAGACTTTGAATTATTCTATTTTTTTTATAAATAAGTTTGGATAAATCTTGAGACAAAAGAATTCTTGATTTTTACATTCGGATATCTAGTTCTTATTTCTGCAATTTGGATCGTTCAATTACTCTCCTATTATAACAACAGGTGGAAACCTGTTGGAAAAGAATTCTTTATGGAAACCTGGTCATTCCCATATTTGGAAAAGAATGATGGATATCAAGATTGAGGCTAAGAAACATATTAAGTAGAGACTTTTTAATGGAAGGGCCTCGTTCTGGGGGGATAATTGGTCAGAACATGGCTCCTTAGTCAAGTTTATAAATGACCCTAATAAAGGAAAAGAGACAGTTATGGACTTCATTCATGAAGGTCACTACAACCTTTCTGCTCTTGAGAATATTTCTGCTAGGAATAATTCTCGATGTGAAAACACAGAGCCAGGGGCTGATCTTTGAATAGGAAAAAGAGTGGATCTGCAGGGTCCCAAATGAATTGGCTTATTCGAAAAAAGGCCTTATTCTTTGGAAGATCTATCTCGTGTCTGGTACTGCATGGTTTCACTCTACAAGAACTCCGAATCATTCTCTTGAAGCTCATCCTCTTCATCATAAATGATCCGCTTGTCCCGACAAGGAGGTCAAAATTGAATCTGATTCCCTAGTCCTAATCAATGCTATAAACATTCATGCTGGAACACCTTGGCAGATTGCTCACTTGGTAGAACATATTAGAGAGCTAAGGCAGAAAGGCTGCTTCATTTTCTCACACTGTTATAGGGAAGCTAATTGCACTGCAGACTCACTGGAGTTTATATAAGAAGACTTCTTCTACTGTATTTTCTTTACGGGCGCTGACATTTTATCTATGAAGGTAAGAGCTGCTTTGAACAATGACAAAAATCAGTTAGTCAACTTCATAATTAGGACGAGAAAGAATTCCTTCGTCGTTTAACCATTTTCGTAATTGCTTTTGTTTATCTGGAAGGATTAATACCTTCCTCAAGCTACTTTTAAGTACCTTACTTTATACTCCACTGGAAGGTGCTCCCCGACTCTTGATTTAGGAGTTGCTTAGTTTAGATTTACCAACTCCTCATGTAATGATATTTTATTTCAGAATTAATAAAGTTGTTTCGTATTTATTAAAAAAAAAAAATTGCTCGGTGCACTAAGCTCCCACTATGGACGGGGTTCAGGAAGGACCGGACCACAAGAGTCTATTGTACATAGCCTTACCCTGCATTTTTGCAACCAAATAACAACCAAATTTAAATAAAGAAAAAAAGAGATACATCATCTTGCCTAATCACCAACTACCTAACCACCACTGCACCTCATATTTAGAATATACATAAAGCAAATAATAAAAGGAAAAATATAACATAATAAATCATACAAGAGTTGTAGATTGATGCAACTTGAAATGACAACAAAGACACTTCGTTATGCTGATTTGGCACAACTGTTTAACCAATGTCAAAAATGCAAACCTAGAGAAAATATACACCAACAAAAAAAAGAGCCGAGCCTTGAGATATTATCAATAAATAATCAATCAATTCTTTTGACTAAATGTCTAAACAACAGCTGACTTTGGTCACAATTTCCAGCATAATATGTGATGCCATACTCACCCTAAAGGTATTATTATACACTCACTTGTGAGAGGACTACAAAACTGGCATTGATTTTTGGCAGATCCCACCAGTAATCTTTTATCCATGTTAGAGATTCTCTAATGTGGTTTCGGCTTATAGCCATCAACAGCAAAGTTTCTTGTGGCTGCAGGAAGAGCTAACCGAAGTCCATCAAGTTCAGGTTTTGCAATTACTTGACAACCTAGACGAGACCTGCAGACAACGAATGCAGAACATATGAGAAGCTTGAGAAACTAGAGTAACTGATAAGTAATACGAATAGAAGGGACCTACGTCTCTGTGAGGCCAAAAGCAAGATCCAACATATCATTTTCTTCGTCTGTTGGATCTTCTAGCTTGTTGTAGTAGTCCACATCCTGTCCAAAGTCGTCGAAGTTCAGATAACAAATGTAGCTCAGTTACAAGATCACAACATTCAAATGGATTCTTGACCCAGGAAAGCCCCAGCTGAGGTGGAAGGGTTTACGGCATTGGCCTAATCATATGATTACATACCATAACAATCACATGACAGGTGGAACAGGCAAGTGACCCTTCACATGCTCCTGCATCAAAGCCAATGTTGTTTGGTTAAACTTGACAGACAACAAGGTATGGAAAGGTTGATATGCTAAGAAATGTAAATTCCACCAGAAACACCCAAAATTGTGTTGGCATACAATTTGTCCCAGTGCCCTAAATAATTGTAGGGAGTCAAAGATGTGTCATCCAGTAACGTTAATCACATCTGTGTAAAGGAGGCTGCTCATATTAAGAGTCTAAAAATAAAATTAAGATAGATTAGACCATAATTTGGCAAGAACTTTAGCACATGTCTAATATGCCCAACTACCGTTTCATTGGCACCATGCTTCTTCCCATGCTAGAGCTCAGTGGCATTGACTCTCTAGAGGATGTCTCAGAGATGCATTGCCAGCTTTTAGGCACATTCCCACACTCATCCCATCACTATCACTGCTTCACCGGATCTTCAATATGAAGATGAGAAAACTTGCAGTGCTCCCGGTATTACTTGTGAATTCCTTTGAGCTACCGTACACTTTCACTAACTTGGAAAAAACTTAGGAACTTCCTTCACATTTTTTCCAAGACTCAAAAGATGAACTTAGATAATTGTTTTATCTAATTACTCTATTTTTTCAGATAATAGATCACAACATCATCCCCAACAAAGGCATACTAAGTAACTGAAAGCAATGACCAGATTCATAAAGGTTTCTCATCACCCTGAAAATCTATATTAATTTGGTTAAGGATGACCAATATTGATTAGAAATATAAGAATTAACATGCCTCAACAAGGCTAACCTTCGAGCTCGATGTCATTTTCATGTGCAGCTTCTAACATAGACATTCCAACAGGGACCTTGATATGCTTCTCTTCTCCATCCTTGTCAACAAAGGTTACCGATATTCTGCAAGCCCAAGCAAAGAACATGGAAAATTTGAGGCGAACAAAAAAGAAGAGGTCCACAATAACTTCAATGACACTCTCCGTCAATTTATATGTCAAAGACAACTGCTCTGCTTCATAGCAGACTGAAGTTGCCCTTTAGATGTTCATAAATTTAGTTTTCTCTTTTACATAAAGGCAATGGTGACTAGCACCATATATGTATATCCAGTTTACAGAAACCTATTTCCTAGTTTAAGGAGAAAAGCAAGTGGTATAAGACAAGAGAACGGTGTTAACAATTCCTGGAAGAACTTACGTTTGCTTTTCCTCGTTCCCTGCAGTAGTGCAATATTGTTCATGCCTCTGAAACACAAAACGAAATTCAGGTCATCCACAAGAGGTGAAGAGATGAAATTACAAAGAAAGACACTTGTTTCCCAGAAAGAGATAAACGAAAAAGAAACCAAACCAAACAGGATTGGGTGCTAAGGAGCCTCGTAATTAATAATTCCACGAAAAATTGTATTACATCTATCTACCAAAGCTACTGACCAGGACCCGCGAAAAATGACATCTCGACAGAGGATCATGTGATGTCCCTGAGGTACAAGCTAGCAGTGCTGCAATACATCAACAAGAGGAAGAAAAAAAAAGTAATTTAGAACATGAAACAAGTTAAGCCCATGAAAATTTAATATATCTGAAACATGGGTTTCCATAATATCTAGATGTATGGAAAAGAAACTTCAAGTTCATTCTTCATTGCACTAGCCTCCTAATTTTTCGAAGTAATGTTTTAATAAGTAGAAAGATTTTATTCAGGGAAACAGCACCAAATTGGTGTTGGTTATATAAAAAATGTTATAAGAGATCCTTGTCCCTTTAAGCTATGCAGAGAGCAAAGGAAATCCGTCATGGCATCTTATATCATTTACATTTTTTCCAATTACACCATAAAGTTAGTAACTGAAACTTTGTATTCACCTCAAAAGACTTTTCCTAGCGAAGGTGTATGTCTTCCTTTCCATTTTTATAAATCCTGTTAACATAAATGCCAAATCGATTTACACTTCACATCACCATATCATTAGGTCTCTCTTAGAGAGAATAGTCTTTTACGTTCAATTCAAATCTATTTTCCAAGCCTACCAATTAAACATGAAGAGATATATACCATGCTTCCTGAACACTTCATTTCCCTTGACACGCCTATCCTGAAGTGGTATAAGATAGGTACAAGCACTTCATATGGACAGAACTTGCTTGTATAATTGAACTTGGTAAATATCAGATACATATGGAAACACGAGTCCATGCACGTAATCTATCTTAAAACATAGCAGCATCAAAAAGTCCCATTTAAGAGGTACATTTCTGCCAAATTTGAGCAGTGAGAAAAGTAGAGCTTTCCTTCACCCACATCTCTCCCTAAACTCCATCAAATTCAAGAAGTACAATCCCTCTTAACCCTCTCCATTCCCTTCTCACCTATTTCCTCAAACATCTTCAAACAATCTCCATTTCCTCGATACTCGAAGCAAGGGAGGTGTCACTATTTGGGTTACTTTTATTCTTTCTTCTTAGTCGAGTATAGGAGTATACTTACAAGTTGTTACAATTACAAAATTTACTCACCAGTACCAGACCTATTTTTATGACGGTAGTGAGCGGGACAACTTATTCGCACCTCAAGTATTCTATTAGGTACTGTTACCTCCCCCAACAAATGTATCGGATAACTTTATTTGAACCCGATACCTCATTGTTCTACACTTCTAACCCACACTAGTTGCAAAAATACAACATGAGTAGACCACAAATTGGCATCAATTGGCACCACTAGGACAACACTAATTGGCCACTAAATAGCCTTCACATACAAGTTCGCAACCACTGTCTTGTTTTGGTTCACACAATCCAATAGAAGGATAGAAGCAAAACCCAGATACAGAAAGGCAATACCTTTACCAAAATTTACACTAACCCATATATAAATGAGCCTAGATATGACATACACCACTTAAAGAACTCTATGGAAACAAAAACCCCAGCAAAACCCAGATACAAAAAGGCAATAACTTTATTAAAATTTGAACAACTCCAAATACAAATAAGCCAATAAATGCCATATACCATTTAAGGAATTCGATGGAAACAAAACCCCAGCTCGATTCCTCGTTGCTGTGTTGTAACTCCTACACCCTACTTTCAAAAATGATCCAAAAGCCTACATTAAACAGAAAAACTTCAGAAATCACTCAATTAATATGCTTTGATATAAATATCTGCATAAAGAACATAATTAAAAACCAAATAAAAACACCATTCGAAGAAGAGAGAGAGAGACTTACAGAGCATCGAGCAAAGCGACGGGCGATTCGGATGACATGGAAGCCGACCATTTTCTGATCGTTCACCGTTACACCAGAGAGAAATGGAACACGGGTCGGGTTAGGACTCAATTTTTCAGATTCAGCTTCAGTTAAAGCCCTACTAAACCCCCAATTATTTATTGGGAGATTTGGGAGAGTGCGAAATTATGAAAAACTAGTTTGTCCTTTTCATTTTTTTTTTGTGGTGAGGTGGCGAGATGTTCCACATATCTTATGGAGTTTTTATTTTTATTTTGTGAAAAAATAAAATGAAAAAGAAGATGGAGGGAAAAAAAATGAGGGAGTATAATTTCCCTTTAATTAATAGGTTATCATAATCCCTTAAATTTTAAATATACTAGTTAATTGGCCGCGCTTCGCGCTGTCAAACATCTTTGTTTTATATTAGTTGATTCAAAGGAAATAAATTAATTATACTGCCAAAAATAAAATATATTATATAATGCAAGATGTAACATAAAAGAAAACTTTTGAAAAAAATCTAACAGAAAATCTAATTAAAATAAATAAAGCATTCACTACTTATTTAGTTTTAAAAGTACATGGTTCTCGAGGAACACCTCTTTCAATTTAAGAGATGAAGTTAAATGCTCATTTTATAATGAAAAGCTTATCAGACAACACGGATAAGTGTTATGGTTATTAATATAATTGTAATTATTAATTTTATCGGAAACTAAAATGGGATGTTAAATCCATTACAGTGTAAATATTCTATAAAATTAAGAGGCAACGTATAACTGTTATATTGGTAATTTTTTTAGTTATTATGTTTCCTTTGAAGTCTAAGAGACTAAAAGATTTAAGGGAAGATAAATGCTGCTAAACAAATTTTACAATAATCTCGTGCGTAATTTTCTTTTCTTCATCATATGAAAATTGAATGCCAAGTGCAACAAACTTTTAACACATTTGATAGACTGATGAAAGAAAATCCTCTTCTAAAATTAAAAAAAATACATTTCGGAACGTTTTTGCAACTTTACCTCAAATTTAGCCACTATGTAACATTAAAAAATTATATTATAAGCAAACAAACATACCATATGGTGAGAGGCTTCATGTTCCTGTTTCAAAATTGGTTAAGACTACTATTTTCTTTTTCTAACGAAATATATATTGTATCAAAATATTAATGCTATAAAGTCAGCATAAAATTATATACCAGTTCCAGATTGTGCATGTTGATTAACTTCAAGACTTTTGCAAAAGAGAAGAAAAGCCATATGTTGAATAGTAAATGAATTCTCAAAACCACAGGCATAGGTTTCCTTCACAAGATTTTCTTGCAAACCCATGTATCTAAGCTGCTGTAAACCTCATCATATGATGTGAACAATTCTTGTTCTATCCCGAGGCTCTTTGGTGCTGCAAGCTGGCCATGACTGATACCCAAGCAATATATTAAAGGGAGACTGAATACTTGAAAAGATTTGAGGATGATAGTTTTTAGGGACTGTTGCTTTGTCCAAAAAGTGCTCAGATATACTATATCGCAGAGTTCAGGAACCCAACATGAGAGAGGCAGAGAACTACCAAAAGATGTTGATACAATAAAATAACTTCATGCTTAAGAGATGAACAATGATTTATGTACTAAAGGACACCTTCGAAATATTTCATATGGTTTCAATCATGTACCTCAATCTTCATTGGTCTCGGCAGTTCCACTTTAGTCACTGCTATCTGCAACTCCTCTACAAGTTACATACGATACAAAGAATTCTTATAAACATAAAATCACTTTTAAAACTGTAAATACTTGCACATATAAGAATTCATACGCATTAAAAATTTTATCCCACAATTACAAGTGTCTACAGGAAGGTAAAGAAACAATTGTCATATTAGAGTTAGGTACTCAAATAATAGAGCCATAGTAGATGGATTCTCTATCGACGGTTCACAAATTTTTTAGAAAAATAATCAATCACATAGTCATTCACAAAGTATTATATTATTTTACACATATACTGTAACTTGCAAGTTAAGTCATTCTCTTTCAATAAAAGAAAATTCAATTCACATCCAAGTTCTTCATAAAAAATGACATAGTAATTCGTGAAGCAATCAAGATAATGATATTACATTCAAACTTCAAAAACATACAAATACTACTTTCGTAAATTTTGGGTTAACCAAACTCTGTTTTAATTAGCAAAATAATTATTTAACAAATGAACTCAGTAACATAGTATTCAATAGTTTTCAAATCAAGGATCATAGGCAGAAAATGAGAAATTTACTCCTAAAAATTAAAACAGACAAGCATCCTAACAAATCAGATATTTTCAATTAAGTTTTTTCAAGGAAAAATGCCTCCATCTCTCATTACTGATCTAAAAAAGAACATGACTCAGCATGAGTAATGTCAGTAAATGCACATTAAAAGAGATCAATCATGTTTCCAAATTGGATGGTAGACCGAAAATTAAAATTCTAAGTTGATACCCTTGAAAAGCGAATATGATGCCCATTTTAGCTATTCGATAATATTGGTCTTACAAATCATTGCAAGAATGATATTTTTATATTACTCATTTGACAAAGCATAATTTCTATTACAATAAACCAACTGTAATGCAAACGTCATTTAACAGGCAGAAAATCACTATAAAATACTTATGAGTTCTCTCTCAAAATTGAGTTAGATATGTTAAATGAATAAAAAGATGTAATCTCCAGATTAATCATCATTTAAGAAATGAAATAAACACATCAGAAAATACATTAGTATAACATAATCAGCCACTGTCACATGAGATTTGATGAATATCTTCTTGCAATAGGCAGAAGCAAAGCCGAAAGAGATGAACAGAACCAGTGGAAGAAGCAGAGATGCAAAGGGAACACAACCGATTATCGAAAAATCAGTCTTAAAGGATAAAAGAAAAGTAAAATAGTTATTATTATTATTATATTAGGCACTGATATATACCTAAAATATTCTTCCCATTCTTAAAAATTGACAGAATAATATCTTGACAAAGATTTTCCTATCACTACGTTGTCCTTTATAAACTTCTTCACCCTTCCGTTATTGTTTTCTTCTTTAGTTAAGGAACTGCCGCTGTTACACTATTTTTCCTGAATTTCCACCGCCTCATAGTTAAAGAAAAATTATTTGATTCATAATCAACATAAAAATATGCTGCAAAATGTGGGAAGAAATACACTATTTAGCCTCTTTTTTTAATATTTCTCTACCCCTATTCAGCATGTCTTTTCTCTTCAGCAAAAGTTCATAGCAAACAAAAAAGGAAAAAAACTGCAATTTACCTTACCATCATCTTTACACATCAGATTTTTCCTCCTTTTATATCTTCTCCTGAATTCTCAACCATTCTAAGGCCTGAGATAGACAAATAGAAACAGGAATTTAATACAGAGATATATGAAGACAAAGACTCTGTTCATTGTTGATTTATATGAAGACAAAGACTCTGTTCATTGTTGATTTATATGAAGACAAAGACTCTGTTCATTGTTGATTTATGTCCGCTAGAATTTAATGCGTGAGAATTATTTCGAAACGGTTCCCTGAGAATTTTGAGTGAGTGATGCCTTTTCTGTAACCGAGCCTTTAGTTTTTGGCGAAATAATAAGACAGGAAAGCCCTTAAAACTGATATAATAGATAAACCCATTTCCTGTTCAATGACAGATGCCACGTCACTTTTAAGGGCCCTCAATTATATAGATATATAGATTCTTGAGCAATTTTAATCCTTTAAATTTTGCCAAAAGCGTGCATCTTTTTCCCGTTAAATATGAGTTGTAAACTAAACAAGTGTTCGCTTTTAAATTGGATACACTGATACAGATTTTTTTCCAGTAATACTCCTGGCTATATAAAATCTTATTCAATCTTCCTCCTCTTGACCAGCAAGCTATAGCTTGTCAAATCTCTCAACAATAAAATACTGCAATTCCTCACTTTGCAACCCACTTTTATGGCTAAATTGGCCACATTAATCAGAGGAAATGGTACAAAATAACTGGTTACAATTTAAAGAAAATAACTCTGTAAACATCTCCTGTTTTTGTATCATTCATCTTCTACGTCTTAACATAAAGATCTCGTGTGATGGCCACCATATGAATGCATCTGTGCATCACTTAACCCCTGTTAGAATGCGCCGGCCTTCGCTTAAAAACCAAGAGTCTTGTCAGACCTTGATATTATTTCAAGAATCAAGAGAATACTAGGCATCAACATTGGCAAATCAAAAAGATTTCATGAATGCATTTCAGTTCATGCTTATGGCTCAATTGTAATACAAACTGATTTCATGGCAGGCCCATCAATAATATCCATCGTAGAATCTCCACTGCCTGTCGCCTAATGTCATCATCCCCTCAGAGAAAAAATGCTGCTAATGTTTACTGCATCATTGTAGTTTCTCTGCTTTGCACTCTTTTACTCTCGCCCTTATCCTGTCCACTTTGACCGATCGCGAACAGTCATTTGATAAAAAAAAATCCAATGAACTTCCACCCTATTATGTTGCATGTATCCTATAATCATTGCTGTTTGTTCACCAACCTTTCCACATGGCATTTCATCCAATAAATCCCTTGTTCCTTGTGCTTTCCGGACCAATAGTTGGACATGCAGAAACTAAGAAATATGCAGACTTTTCCATAAATAGTTCTAGCCTGGAATCACAAGTTTATGATAGAGAGAAGTTGACAGTGTGTGCTCTCGTCATATTTCCAATAGGAGCTTGTGAGGGCATAACAATTAGAATCATAACAAATAACAGAGAGTGCTGATGCTTATGTCACACTATCCAGCTACTATAACCATCTCTCAAGAATCAAAGGCTTCTGCAGCCAATTTGTTTCTAAGACTGTATCTTTAGTTGTTGGATGTCATTGTAAACGGTTCTTGAAATCAGACCTCTTTGCACCACATTACTCCAAAACATATCCAAAAGGCTATTCTCATCAGAGTAAGAAGCATTAAAACTTTTGTAGATTTTGAGAGTTATCATTAGCCTTCTTCTGTACATCTCGTCTAACAAATATGAAGCAGCATCAAGCTTCCCTACTTTAAAATAAGCATATGCAAGAGTAGCATATACTAGACTATCTCCAAGCACTCCCTTTGTTTGCATAATGTGGAAAACCTTTTCAGCACTATCAATTCTACCTCTCTTGCACAGCCTCCT